GTATGTATGTTGATCGAAAAGCGCACATGAATATCATAAGAATTAAGTATAGGCCGATTTAGGGCGGGTTCGATCTCTTTTAGGTTGGATTCGTACCATCATCCCCGAATATCCAGTCATGGTTACGGATCACTATGGAGTTAGCAATCTTCGTGACCGTGAATGGGGTGTAACCTTCACACCCGTGAACGATTTACAAGTTCCTAAAACTTGTTGGCGACTCTTTTTCTCTAGTTTCCTTTCCTTTAGACGTCACCATGCTTAAAAACATCATCACAGTGGGGCTCAAAGTTGAGTTTGAAAAATTCCCTACAACGATGTGTTTACAAGGGTTTGAATAAGAAATCACTCATCCTAATTGTAAGTATGCACGTCGACTTTGTGCAATTGTCCTCTTTAGATTTACTAATAGATTTTCTCCACTTGTAAAACGATGATGCAAATACGGAAGTCATGAGATCCTAAATAAGGGTAGGCTTGGTTATATGGGATTAGAAGATGTCATTTGAGAATGTGGTGCTAAAAAATAACAAAAATCATAATCCCATTACATAGCCAAATGTTGGGTTCAAACCAACCTTATATCCGCACAACATATAGACATGCCCTTATTCTCACTTTTCTTCATAAGACAACATAGATTTCCATGATAAATATTGCCTTTCTTTCTTCTTCATGGATTTCCAAATCCAATTCTCATAAAACTTTCACATTTTTCTCTTTTTCTCATTTTTTTTTCTTTTTTTTTTCAACTTATATTTTTTTTTCTTTGAAACTTAGAGCATAAACAAACTTATTTTTCTGAATTTTTCATTTTTGCTCTTTTTTCTAACTTCTTTTTTTTTCTTTCTCTTTTATTTTCCAAACACAACTCAATAGAGCATAAATAATACATTGATTCTCCATCAAATAAACCTACAAAAAGTCTCTAAGGCATAAAATGTAAAGCATCAAAGAAGGGGAATTATGGCTCAAATTGGTTCATCCTAAGAATTAATGTAAACAGAAAAAGAAAAAGAAAATAGAATAAGCATCAAGCACCTAAAAAGTTTTGGCTCTAATTATTTTAAAGGAACTCCAATCACTCTTCCATAATGCATCATAAAGTCTCAAATAATCGCAAAGCAAATCCAAGAATCAAATTACATGAAGGAAAAACTAACACAAATGAAGAGAATGACTGAAATAAGATGTATCAGTCAACAATGGCTCAAAAGTCTCACACATAGGTACTCAAGCTATTCATATTAGTCGAGCAGGAAGACCATTCTAGCCACAAACAAGTTCAATTCCAAGCCAATTAGTGAATGGGTTTTCAAAAACAAGTTTTTCAATTTTTAAAGTCACACATGTATCATATATCATCATTGAGGCATAGTCGTATAAAGACGCTAAAAATCAACTCAAAGTAAACTAACTACTATATACGAAGCAAAAGTAATTCCTCCCCAAGCTAAACTTCACATCACTACAAAAATAATAAGAATAGGCAACACTTCAAATTGTAACAATATTATGATTGTTACCCTTTATAATCTTTGGCAACAATACTAATATGTTACCTTGGACTTAAATAATTTAGGATAAATTAGAGTGCAACGATTAGAAAGTGTTGTCTTAGATTATTTTCTACAACAATTACTCAAAGTAATGCCCTTATCTTTGTTAAGGCAACATTTGTAAATAATTGTTGCTTGAAAAGATGACAACTATAAAATTGACACCTACAATGGTAACATTCACATTAATGATGCCTTAAATGGCAACAACTTGTTCAAAGAAGCAACATAACGGTGATGTTGCTTCCAATATAAAAAGATAACAGCTTTTTTCCCTTAATTACAATAATCTAAGAAGATAAGAGCATTACAAATCTATACAAATTATTGTTTAATTTAGGATATGTTTTCTTTACCTTACAAAAATATTACCTCCGCTAATCATTATCTGCATATTTTGGGTATTATTTGTAAAATGTAAAAAATTTAATTGTTGCATAAAATAATTGAATAAGTATTCAATAAATAGTGATTTCACTTCGGTAAAATCAGTAACTAAGAAGGAAAAATATAATAAAGAATCAGTAAAATTAATTATGACAAGTGGTAAATGATAACCCGGAAAAAACCATAGTGAGACATAAAATATTTCTCTATTACACATAATATCAATAAAAAAATTTCGGCAAAAATAATTTAAATTCAGCAAAAAATAATTTCAATTCAACAAAAATAAGGTGGGTAAAATATGTGGCTTTATAGTATTTTATGGATTATAATCACACATATCCTAGATATCAATACATATTTAGAAATTAAAATTCAATTTTTTAATACCTCACCATACAGTTTTTTCTTTTTTTTTTTTCTTTTTTTTGGGTAAAGTTCACCATACCTGTTTTGGGTAAAAATACCCAGGACACGTGGTCCAATCAAAGGGTGACACGTGTCACCTTAGGAGAGATTCAAATGAACCAATCCTTAGCTGACACGTGACACTCCCAATCAATGGGGAAAAAGACGGCCTTTAGGGCTCAATTCCCGAGAAAAGCCGCAAAAGGGCGCAGCCCCCAAATCTAGGTCAAAATGATCTAGATAGGGGCGCACTTACCAATGACCCTATAAATAGGGAGATTCACCCCACTTTGGGGACATATATTCATTAATTACAATATAAGCAATTCTCTCACATCAGAGAAATCCCCTGATCTTGGAATCCGAGAAGATCTCACTTTAATTTCCGCACCATTTCACTTTCTCTGTACACGTTCTAACTTGATCGTCGGAGGCGAAACTCCACCTAACCGGAGTCTCCGTTTTTTTGTAGGTACAGGTGCTCGGAATCCAGTCTTGGTGACGTAACTCTCCCGAGGGACAAAAACTCTGAAACATTTGGCGTCGTCTGTGGGGAGAGTACATCTAAGACGGTTTCACAACAGTCTGTATCGCCTCCTAATGAGAAACGACCTATGGCCGAAGCTGGGGTCCATTCGAACCATGATACTGATGACTTTGAAGTCGAAACGTATGTGGCCACAGATGGGTCACTTAGAACCAGACGCATCCGTCCCAAAGATATAAGGGAACGGGGCAATGATCAATCGGGTCCAGGCAGGTCATCGGCAAGTCATCCAGCAAGTCATCCGGTAAGTCCCAGGCAGCAGAGGAGACCGCCCCTGTTACCCGAGATGAGCTAATGAAACTCATGGCGAGTTTTAAGGGAGAAATCAAGGATTTGATCAACAAGAGGACGGCTAGTCCAAGCAATGGTCAGTCGGCCAAGAAGCCCTCTCACTTTGAGAAGAACAAGCCACTCAGGGACCGAGAGCCCACTCCGCATCCTAAATCAAAGGAGGGGAAGCGGCCCTTGATTGATCTTTCTAAGATCCGATTCCCTGAGATAGGGAAGAGGAAGGCCATCCGGCATGTCCAACTGGATGGCTCAAAGAAGACATACTTTGATGCCCGTTTCCAAATTGAGTAGAAGAGAAACCAGCAACTGTCTCAGTCGGCTTCAACGTCAAGTTACCTAGACAGCTTCCAGAATACCTCAATGAGATAATCTCAATCTGTAGGAGAGAGTCAGTTAGGCGGCCCGTCCGTTTATATTGGCCCTCAGATGATCCATTTGGCCCCATATGTGCCTTAGCAGCTATACATGCCGTACGGACAACCTTACATGCAACCGACCCTCTTTGGGGATCAGGCGGCACAAAACGTCCAACTTTTGGACTGGAAACTCCGTCTGCTAAAACTTGGGGAACAACCTTCTGTGTTCTCCAAGGAAATAACCGAGGCAGCACAGCTGACCAAGGTTAAGAATGTCATGGTGGGTACTTATGATGGTACCACCAACCCTGAAGACCACCTCATGGCCTACACTAACCTCATGTACTTGCAGGGGTTGGATGACGCCACCTGGTGTTGATGCTTCCCGGCTACATTGAAGGGCATCGCTCAACAATGGTTCGACAACTTGCCAGCCGGCTGCATCAATAGCTTCAAGACGCTTGCGTTCTTGTTTTCTTCTAACTTCTCTATGAATATCCTTGCCAAGAAAACAAGTCTTGACTTGGGTGCAGTGCAGCAGGGGGTCAGAGAAGGGTTGCGGTCGTAAGTCAGGCGGTTCAATCTAGTGAGAATCCAGATTCAAGGGCTGTCTGACGATGTGGCTTATACAGACTTCTTCAAGGGTCTGAAGGACGGGTCGACTTTTAAGTTTGACCTCGTCAGAAAGAGGGTTGCCACCCTCCATGAAGCGCTGATGGAGGCGGAAGCCTATATGCAGGCGACCGAAATCTGCTCCATCAGCAAGCAGTCAAACTCCAAGAAGTTTGACAAAAAAGAGAGTCGGCAAGCTCAGCCGGCTAAGAAAGCTGAAGAGAGTAAGAAGAGAAAAGAGATATGGGCGGTTGACGACTCTGATAAGCCTTCCTAGAAGAAAAAGAAAGAGTTTAAACCGTATGTACATTGTCCTCAATGTGAACATATATCGAAAAAGAACAAGCAAGGGAAAGAGAAAACTAGGCCCTACTGGCCAGAGGAGGGATTATACCTAGGGGCGGAGCTAGGACCGCCCTCAAGATCACGTCGCATCATATCCCCAGACACAAACAAAACAAGAATAAAGAAAATAAAAAGAAAAGAAAAGAAAAAAACATAATGGGTTGCCTCCCATTTAGCGCTTGTTTAAGGTCTTTAGCTCGACCTCTTTTTAGTAGCTCAACCTGGGTCACCACACAGAGAAGATACTCTGTGGTATTGCTCATTAATATACCCACCTCCAAACTCTTTTAGATTAAAGTTGATATGCCTTGTATCCGAATTTTCCTTCATGTAACCGAACCCATCATGTGGTGGAATATTGTCCTTTTCACTCACATGATTTCTATTAGAAACACACTTATCAGCCAAAAGGGTTAGTAGCATCAATTCTCAAACAAGTACCACCATCAAAAGTAAAATTATGGTCATTAAAAAGCTTAACATAACTTGTTTATCCTAAGCTCTAATGGTCACTTGTCCTTTAGGAACATTTATTAAAGCTTGACTTGTAGCAAGAAAAGGGAGGCCAAAGATAAGTGGGATTATATGGTCTTCTTTCATATCCACTACAAAAACGTCAACAGGAAAAACAAGTTCACCAATCCCAACTAATACATCTTCAACTACACCATTAGGGAGTCTAACACTCCTATCAGCCATTTGAAGAGATATGGGGGAAGGTTTAAGTTTTTTCAAACCTATTTTTTCATCAAAGAAGAAGGCATTAAATTAACACTAGCACCTGAATCACACAAGACCCTATCAAAAGATGTTTCGTTTATCTTGCAAGAAATAGTAAAACTACTAGGGTCATGCAATTTAGGTGGTAGGCTCTCATGTAAAATATTAGAGCTTTTCTCCTTTACTACCACACTTTTCTAATTCCTTATCATTAGGATTATGATCTAGAATTCCTTTCACAAATTTGGAAAATTGAGGCATTTGAATTACAAGATCAGAAAAAGGAATGGTAGCATATACCTTCTTAAGAGTCTCAGAATATTTCCCAAAATGCTTATCGAGCACGGCTTTTGATAATCTTTGTGGGAAAGACATTGGATCCTTATAGGCCTGTGGAGCATTATATTTGGGACCTCCTTTCTCAAGCTTTTTTGTTTTCGACTCAACATTGTGCACTATCCTCCCGTATTCAATTCATCTCTCCGCACGAAAATTACATTGCATTATTTCATTTGGACTTTTGCTTGATCTTGAAGAGTTGATAAATGACTCACTTGTTGTGAAATTTGGGAAAGATGAGTTTCGATCTATCCTCTTATTTTGAGCAACAAGCAATTGAATTGAGTTTTCAAAATATTCATTTTGATATAAGCTCTTGTTAGTGACGTTGGGAAGTAGCAAAAGTCTCCATAACGGAGTCAAGATCATATTTTGAAGATTCGGGGGGTGGTTGGTGCATGGATTGATGATTGAAAGGTGCCCTTGCTTGAAAAATGGGTAGTGGTGGTGGTGGATTCATTGGAGCTTGGGTGTTCTTTTATGAGAACCCTTAATGATTTCTCCACCCTTTATTATATGTATTGGAATGAGGATCATATGGCCTTGTGGAGGTCGTGGTATAGAAAGCATTCGCTTGCTCAATCGTCATTCCATCACAATTAAGTTGACACTCTCGTGCAGTGTGGCCTTGTACTCCACACATTTGACAAGTTTCCATCGAGGGTTGACACTCTCGTGCAGTGTGAACTTGTGGATTCACTGGGGCTTGAGTGTTCTTTTATGCGAACCTTTAATGATTTCTCCACCCTTTATTATATGTATTGGAATGAGGATCATATGGCCTTGTGGAGGTCGTGGTATAGAAAGCATTAGCTTGCTCAATCGTCATTCCATCATAATTAAGTTGACACTCTCGTGCAATGTGGCCTTGTGCTCCACACATTTGACAAGTTTCCATCGAGGGTCGAGGAGACCCAGCTTGGAGTTGATCGAATTTATAAGTTGATGCCTGCACATAACTTGTCAAAAGAGTTAGAGCATCAACATCATGTTTACCTCCTTTGTTGGTAGCATTTCGTCCTCCTGGATGGATAATTATCATTTTCTGCCATCTTCTCAATCAAATCCTTCGCATCAGTTGGGTTCTTAGTCATGATAGAACCTCCAGATGCAGCATCAATGTATATGTGAAACTCATGGGTCAAACCATTATAGAACGTTTGGATCAACATCCACTCCGGAATATCATGATAAGGGCATTGTCTCTACAATTGCTTAAACCTTCTCCATGCCTCATATAGGGATTTGTCATTAGATTGATGGAAGGTAGATAGCTCGTTCCTTAATTTTGGGGTTTTCTCTTCCCCCAAAATTTTGACTAGAAAGACCTTGGCAAGCTTGTCCCACGTATCAAAGGAACCAATACCTTCATCTCTTAACCACTCCCTTGCTCTATCCCGTAGTGAAAAAGGGAAAAGGTGTAGTCTAATAGTACACCATTGAGCTTCATAGTGTCACACTTCTCCATGAAACTGTTTATGTGAGTCATAGGGCAATCATTTGGTGAGCACGCAAAAGAATCATTGGAGATGAATTGTATGAATTGGGGCTTCAACTCAAAACTCTGAGCGGTGACGGGTGGTCTAACAATACTAGAGAGGAATCCAGTAGTTGTATCAGGAATACCATACTCCAAAAGAGATTTTGATCCTGGGTCATGTTTCTTGTATTTTTATTTCTCCTTCTTCTACTTCTTCGTCTTCTTGCAGTAACTTCGATCTCAGAATCAAAAGGTGTTAAATCATCTTAACCTGAACTTCGAGTTTGCATGTGATGGGCGTTAGAATGGTCGCACATTCCACACTCATTAAAACACATTTATAAGCAAACACCTCACAAACCAAGCACAATGATAAGTAAGAGTTCAGTCCACAAGGAATGAGGTATAATAGCTAAAGATCTTAACACTCAAGCTAATTCAAAGTCTTTTGTTAAAAGGGGTGTTCGTCAAGTAGACAACAAACTGTTGTTCTAAATCAAGTAATTAAAAGAACTAGGGAATGGATCCACTCAACCATGGCAATTAGGTATATTGGGAGTAAAAGAGACAAGAGATAGCAATGACTATATGTAAGACCAACCTCATGCAATTAGGAAAACAACTCACACTTCTAAACTTAGATCCCTCATTAGTTTAGCAATAGGAGATACATAATCAAATTACAATAAGTAATGACATACTTAATCTACATTTCCATGTCATACTAAGCATAACATGCCATCAAGTTCCAAATTCAGGGTAGCTACTCCTATTATGAAGAACTAACAAACAATCTCGTACAATCAATTTAATCACAAATCAAACATCAATACTTCTCCCAAGTTTACTTAATTAACAATTAGGTTGAGTTTCACCCAACCCCTAGCAAAGAGGACTACTCACAACGTTTTTTGAGTGGCATGCAAACCAAGATTAGGGTTCTAACTTGTTCAATAATTGGGGGAAAGTGATTAACTAATGATAAAACTAACATTCAACAACAAAAAATCATGATCTAAAGAGATTAAGGTGACTTGCAATAACAAAATAAAATCAGAAAATAAATAGAGAAAAGTGAAAGAAGTTACTAATTGAAGCTTCAAATGTTGAAAACAATTGCTGAAAACAATTGCTGAAATGTTGAGAATAATCCTTGAAACTTGCTACTACAACGATTAATTTGAGGATTTCTAAGCTAAAATACCAAAGATGATTGTTTCAAACTAAGAGAAAGTTGCTAAGAACTATGCTACTGCTACTCTTAAAATGAACCAAAGGGGTAGTATTTATACTCCCCGAATTACATAGGGAAATCCGTCAAAAGTAACCCGGATTCCCAGTCAGGAGTGCTCGCTCCAGAAGTAAGAGCGCCTGCTCCTCCAGCCAGGAGCGCCCGCTCCATAATCTTGCATGCCCGCTCCCCTGTTCTTCAACATGTAGCAGATTCAAGCCAACAGGGAGGATCGCCCGCTCCCAGAAGGGGTGCACGCCCGCTCCTCCATGCTTCAGAAAGTTGCAGATTGTGGTGCCAATATCAGGAGCGCCCGCTCTGAAGGGAACTGCACGCCCGCTCCTGCCAGACTCTGAAAGATGGCAAAATTGTGTAAACTTTGTAGGAGCGGCCTCTCCCTCTTCATTCTTGCTCCATCTTAAACCCTCCAAGAGCTATTCTTGTGCCAAAACTTCACCTACACCTGCAAGTCAAGTACACTAACACACAAAGAGAGGGCAAAGCCAAAATGCAAGATTTATATACAAAAGGGGTTAGAAAAAGGGGAAAAGATTACAAAACCGGGTTAAAATCACCATAATAAGTGGTCAAATAAACCACTTACCAGCATGCAACAAAGAAACTAAAACAGGAGATCAAAGACACAAGGGTCAATAGCCGAATCAATAAAATATATGCTTAGTAGAAATGAATCACGATTAACTAGAATGAAAATGTTAGTCCCTGCCAACGGCGCAAAAATTTGATAGGCGTGTCACGTACCTAACAAAAATAACCTAACAAGACTAATACTATGTAGATATGCAAGTAAGGGTCGAATCCCAAGAGACTATGGTTTGACTAATTAAACAGACTCAAATAATCACTAAGCAAGTAACCAAAACAATTAAGAGAATTAATAACTAAAGAACTAATTCAAGTGATTAAATCTAAGTAATATAATAAATCAAATGCTAAAACATCCAAGATCAAGCATCACCACGAATACAACTAATGAAATAGTCGCTCTACCCTTAACACATAATACAATCGACAAGAAGAAAAGTAATCCCTAAATAGTACCAAAGGTCTCTTTCGAGTTATCAATGGCTTCCCTAATCACAATCAAACCTACACTTGTGGAATCGTGCAAACTAGAGACATTTAACTCATTACTCTAACTTCTTAATCATCCATTCAACTACTCTCGTGATGAACTTCAAACCCTTAATTGACCTGTTCAAATCTGTTAAAACCCAACTCTCGTTGCGATTAAAACAAAGGAATAATAACAATACTAATTATCTCTATTCTAGTATAGTATTGCCATGAACATAATCAATTAAGCATATTAATTGCAATTATCATTAGATAATTTAAAGAATTAAATCATGCATAAACCATATTCGGGTTCCGCTAGATCTTGGAATAAGGAAACTACTTACACATAGTTATGAAAATAATAACAAGAATGAAGGAAAGCATAATTAACAATAAAAGGAATTAAAGAAAATAAGAAAATACCGAATCTTGAACTACGAGAGATAAACGAAGAATCTTGAGCGCATAATCTTAAATTATAATGAAAAATAATAATGTCTAGAGAGAAAACTAGGGTTCTAAGATGATGAATAATGAAATAAAAGTGCTAAAGAGTATTTATAATAAAGCTAAAATAAAGGATAGAATAAGGAAACAAATCGAATTTAAACCGATTAAATTTGTCCAGGCATGGGCGTGTCACACAAGACATGCCCGTGCCCAAAGTCAGAATCGATTTTTCTTCAACTTCCAGCAAGACATAGTCATGTCAAATTCTGACATGGGCATGTCTCGCTGTAATGGCAGTCATAGTAGCAATGACACTCATAGAGACACGGACGTGCCTCATCTTAGCAAGGGCGTGTCTCGCTAGGCCAACTCCACTCGACGAGGCATGGGAATGCCTCAATTAGACATGGGCATGCCCCATGTAAAACTCCAAATTTCAACTCTTTGCCTCTTCAAAACACACTAACACGCCCATGCCCTGTGTGACATAGGCATGTATGGTTGGAGATCAGCTTTAAATGACTTCAACTTCAAACATTGGCCTTCTAAGTGAATTGCAAACTATGATCAAGATCCATAACTTGTAAAACCTTCAAATAGCTCCGTTAAATCCTGAAATACATCAAAAAAAACAATGAATCTACCCATAAGAGCATCATATGATCACAACCAAACCAAATCAAGCCAAAATAAGCTATGACCAATTAATCTAGACTCGAAACCCCCTAAATGGACACTAAAAACACGTACATTACACAACTTATCAATTTTCAAGAGAGTTTTTTTTTTTTTTTT